GGGCATGACTCAAGTGTAGAGCTCCTCCCTAACAAGAGCTGACGGTCACTGAGTCTTTAAACCCCAGTATCGCCAAAAAAATAAATAAAAAAAGTTTGGTTTAGAACATTCATGATGTTGAACATCTCACCAGCACTTCAACAAATTGAAATCCAAAATTATTTAAAGTGCGAAATGTTCATTTTGTCCAAAGTGAACGTCAGTTGTTTATTTTCTAATGTAAATTGCTAGGAGTGGCAACTACTGGGTAAAAGTGCATGCCTATTTTAAAGTTTGCCTTCTGTAAAGTTTACAGTAATTTTTATCCCACCCACAGTTATGATCACTTTTCTCTATATTCTCACCAACAGTGGTCATAATCAATTTTTTAAATCTTTGGTAAATTAGGTAAAAAGCACTTGTTTTCATTTTCAGTTCAGTTTTTGTTGTTGCGCTTTAGCTTTGTTTTTGTTGTGTTTGAGACAAGGTATCACTATGTACCCAGGAGAGCTACCAATCCTCTGCCTCAGCCTCCTGAGTGCTAGGATTAATAAAGAGAGCCATCATGCCTGCCCCCAATTACTTTTTGTGAGGTTAAACAACTTTGTATTCTCCTTGTCATCTATTTGTTTCAATTTTTTGTATGCCTATTCGAATCTTCATTTTTTTCTGAGGTTGTCTTTTTCTTATTGGCTTTCTAAATAAATACATACAACATATGAAACAATATTATATCAGTTTCACTAGTTTGGCTTTTAACCTCACGTTGTCTTCGAGCCCCAGTTTTAATCTACTGTGTACTTAGGAACTAGCATCTGTGGCAACTAGCAGGAAAAAACATCTTTGGTCACAGCAGCTCGGTGGGCGGGGCCAAAGCGGACCCGGGCAACTAGCCCCGTCCCTCTCCACGACTCCACCTCTTAGGGCGGGGCCAAAGTGACGCCGCCTGCGCGTGCAGCTTCTATTGCTATAGCGACTGTGGGCAGCCTTTCCTAGTTCCAGTACCTTGCGGAGGGAGCGTAGGCCTCAGGGGCGAGAGTTGTCGGCGTGCGTTCACTTGGCGTACTGACGCAAGTCCAGCCACAATGACGCATGCGCAGTCGAGTGTCATGGCCTCCGGAGGCCATCGGCCGGCGTTCGGTGGGGGCGCGACCTGGCCGGTTTAGGCTCCAGGTACCGCGAGGACTCGTCGGAGCCGCCTTTCTGGCGCCGCTCTCTTTCCTCCTCTGCGGCTGGGTGTGTGTCACCGACCCAAAGGAGCGACCACCCAGGAAGCTGCCCTAGGAGCGGAAAGTGGAGTATGGCTCCTTTGAGTGAGGGGAGCAAGTGAGTGCAGCCTCTCCAGGCCGTGGGGGCCAGGTGGGCGTGAGCGAAGGTAATTCAGGGCCCATTAGGAGCCCCGCTCCTCCTTGGACTAACTTTCCAGTGGGTGAGGGCGGGCTGCACTTTCTGTACTCCAGGGCAGGAGATGACTGCTCGAATGGGGCGCCTGGGACTCAGTTCCCCTAGATGAAATGAGAGCCTGGGTGTCGGTGGCCCACGGTACACACTGTTTACACACTTCCGCGGAGGAACTGCCGTATACTTCTAAAACTCCTTTGTATTGCCCGGAGAGAGAACAACTGTTGATGAAATCTTGTGGATTTTGTGTTAGGCTCAGGAATGTTACAAGTATTCCTTTGTGGCTTTGGACGGGAAGCTACCTAGCTTCCTCCTGGAATCAGCAATATAAAATAGTAATACTGACCCAACTAGCAGAATTATGATGCCACAAAGCTCTGTGGAGTGCTTAATGAAAGCCGATCGAGCTCCAATACTGGAAAATCTTTCCGTACACTCTAGAAGCCACATACTGTTTTGCTTGTATTTTTTTGTCATGCATTGAAGTGCTAGAGTGAAGGTGAAATACATTCTTATGCTCATTCAGAACTGATCAGACAGGTGCCTTTTGTTGCTAAGTTATTATCCATTCCATTTATCCAGTAAGTTCTTATTGAGTGCTTTATTGTGTAGTAGGCACAGTTCGAACCTTTTGGTGGTGATCTGTAAATAAATGAAAGATTCCTGTTCCTGTGAATTTACATTCTAGTTTGGGGAAGACCAATAAACAGTAAATATGAATAAGTAAGTGATAAGTTAGAAGGAAATGAGTGCTTAGAATAAAGCAAGGTAAGGGACACTGAGAATGCAAGATACAATTTTAAATAAGTATGTCAGGGTAGGCTTCACAGAGTAAATGACATTTGAGCAAATGTTAGAAGGAAGTGAGGGGAATAAGCCAGGCAGATATCTGAGGAAGAGAGTGAGGTAGAGTGACCTGCTGTGCAAAGGTTTTCAGCTTGAAAATGTGCCTGGTGTCTTCAGTGAGCATCAGGAAGGCTTTTGAGGCTGGAATGGAATGAGTAAGAGGAAATAGTTAATAAGAATTGTGTAACAACAGCTTAAAAAGTACAGTCAAGAAAGAACAGTGTAGTTTGTGAATCCCTTTAGTTGTCTTCAACCTACTTGTGAAGGTTATTTAATTCAGGTAAGATTTCACAGGTTAAATTAGCATATGATATCAATGACTAAAAATCAGACTTTTTCCAAAATAGGATATATTGAGACCTAAACATGGTTATAGTTTCAGTTAGCACAGTGTGAATGAAGACAGAAGAGCTTGTTGTATAAACCTTCATTTGCCCTTATTTAGGATTTTAGTGAATGCAGAAAACTTTTTGCCATCCTTGGAAAGTTGTTTCTAAATACAGTTTCTAACAACTAAAAAAAAAAATTGAAATAAGAAAAGATTTTGATGAGTATTTGTGTCTGTTACTGGGACGTACCTGTAATTTGTAAAACATTGTGGCAACAGAAATGATGAAAAAAAGATACCTGTTATTCAGGGAGTTTACAAACTAGTAAGTGGAAGAACTTATAAATCAAATACAAATTAAAAAAAAAGATGAAAAAAGGTGTGCTAAAAAGAACACTACAAAGTAACTAGAGAGTAACAGAAATGAAGTCACTTGTATATATTATACTTGTGGGCAGTAGCTCCCACCTTTATTTCCATTTGAATCCTTAACCATCTGCTTTTATGATGGTTGTGATTTAGTTTTTTCACGTTTACAAATTTTAGGTTTTTAAAACCAGTTGTAAAATGCACTGAATATGCCAAATAAGTGCAGAATTCATGAACTAAAGCACCTATTAAATTGCACAGGTGTCATGTAATAGTCACCACTCTGTTGGAATTTAGAACTTTTCCAACACTGTGGTGTTAAGCCATGCTTCTTTCTTTTTTTTTTTTATTTTTATTTTTTTTTTCATTTTCTTTTATTATTCATATGTGCATACAAGGCTTTTCATTTCTCCCCCCTGCCCCACCCCCTCCCTTACCACCCACTCCCCTCCCTCCCCTCCCCCCTCAATACCCAGCAGAAACTATTTTGCCCTTATCTCTAATTTTGTTGTAGAGAGAGTATAAGCAATAATAGGAAGGAACAAGGGTTTTTGCTGTTTGAGATAAGGATAGCTATACAGGGCATTGACTCACATTGATTTCCTGTGCGTGTGTGTTACCTTCTAGGTTAATTCTTTTTGATCTAACCTTTCTCTAGTTCCTGGTCCCCTTTTCCTATTGGCCTCAGTTGCTTTAAGGTATCTGCTTTAGTTTCTCTGCATTAAGGGCAACAACTGCTAGCTAATTTTTTAGGTGTCTTACCTATCCTCACCCTCCCTTGGGTGCTCTCGCTTTTATCATGTGCTCAAAGTCCAATCCCCTTGTTGTGTTTGCCCTTGATCTAATGTCCACATATGAGGGAGAACATACGATTTTTGGTCTTTTGGGCCAGGCTAACCTCACTCAGAATGATGTTCTCCAATTCCATCCATTTACCAGCGAATGATAACATTTCGTTCTTCTTCATGGCTGCATAAAATTCCATTGTGTATAGATACCACATTTTCTTAATCCATTCGTCAGTGTGGGGCATCTTGGCTGTTTCCATAACTTGGCTATTGTGAATAGTGCCGCAATAAACATGGTGTGCAGGTGCCTCTGGAGTAACAGTCTTTTGGGTATATCCCCAAGAGTGGTATTGCTGGATCAAATGGTAGATCAATGTCAGCTTTTTAAGTAGCCTCCAAATTTTTTTCCAGAGTGGTTGTACTAGTTTACATTCCCACCAACAGTGTAAAGGGTTCCTTTTTCCCCGCATCCTCGCCAACACCTGTTGTTGTGGTGTGTTGCTGATGATGGCTATTCTAACAGGGGTGAGGTGGAATCTTAGTGTGGTTTTAATTTGCATTTCCTTTATTGCTAGAGATGGTGAGCATTTTTTCATGTGTTTTTGGCCATTTGAATTTCTTCTTTTGAGAAAGTTCTGTTTAGTTCACTTGCCCATTTCTTTATTGGTTCATTAGTTTTGGGAGAATTTAGTTTTTTAAGTTCCCTATATTCTGGTTATCAGTCCTTTGTCTGATGTATAATTGGCAAATATTTTCTCCCACTCTGTGGGTGTTCTCTTCAGTTTAGAGACCATTTCTTTTGATGAACAGAAGCTTTTTAGTTTTATGAGGTCCCATTTATCTATGCTATCTCTTAGTTGCTGTGCTGCTGGGGTTCATTGAGAAAGTTCTTACCTATACCTACTAACTCCAGAGTATTTCCTACTCTTTCTGTATCAACTTTAGAGTTTGGGTCTGATATTAAGATCCTTGATCCATTTTGAGTTAATCTTGGTATAGGGTGATATACATGGATCTAGTTTCATTTTTTGCAGACTGCTAACCAGTTTTCCCAGCAGTTTTTGTTGAAGAGGCTGCTATTTCTCCATCGTATATTTTTAGCTCCTTTGTCAAAGATAAGTTGCTCATAGTTGTGTGGCTTCATAGAATAGAGGATCCAGATGCTTCTTTCTTTTATATCCTTTTTTCCTCTCCGGGAGGCAGATGTTTTTGGTTTCTTAGACAGTGTTACAGCAAAAAAGTTAGAATGACTGTGTTATATTCAGGAAGGATTATTTTTTTTCAGTTTAAAATTCTCTCAAATCAAGTTTTAGTGACAAGAAGAAATAATAGTGTAAACATGGAACTAATCCTACAAGAGGCAGGAATCTGTAGTTTAGAGTTATGCCACGCGGAAACTTGGTCAGGTTTTCAGTATCAAGAAGGAGACTGAGTTGGCCATGGTGGCATGTGCCTGTCATCCCAGCAACAGCAGGAATCATAAAATAGGAGGAGGATCGTGGCCAGGCTGCCCTGACAAACAGTGAGACCCTGTCTCCAGAATAACCAGAGCAAGGCTGGAGGCGTCACTCATGTGGTAGAGGACACAAGTTTAAAACCTCAAAAAAATTTAAAATTATAAAAAAAGAAGAGGGAAGTTAATTAAGTTACAATACAGTTTACAAGTGGTATCACAAGTATATTAGTTACCTTTCCATTGCGGTGACAACATACCTCAGATAAAAACTTTAAGGGGAAAAGTTTATTTTGACTCACAGTTTCAGAAATTTTAGTTCATGGTCAATTGGCCCATAGCCTTTGGACCTGTGGTAAGCCAGAACATTATGGTGGGGAGGAGGGTTATTAACTTAATGGCCACTAGGAAGCAAGAGGAGAAGGGGCCTGGGTCCCAACATCCCCTTCAAAATCTTGCCTCCCTCTCCCAACCTAACTTCTTTCCACTAGGCCCACCTTTTAAAGGTTCTACCACTTCCTAACAGCAGCACAAGGGGGACCAAGCCTTTGGAGCCATTTTGGATCCATATTATAGCAGTGAGTGGTAATTGATGGCCTATAAAGATGATAGGTAACACCAAAGTACATGTCTCAGTGGAATCTCGACAGGTGTGTTCAGCAACCCTAGTAGGTATGTAAGTGGTTGGTGGCAGAGGGCCTTGAAAGTATGATCAGTACTGGGTTCAGGTGTGCTATCCCTTCCTGGAAGGAGGTAAGTTATGAAGAGAACTAAAAAAGCTAAAAGTCACTTGTTAGAGCTTGATTGAAGGTCATGTCCAGGGAAGAATCTTTTACGAATATGTGTGTGTGTGTGTTTGAGTGATTTTGAGGCCATGTGGTGGTGTTTCAACTGTAGGTAGAGAACTTTGGGAAGGAGCTAGCTGGGTTAGTATGATAATAAGAGCTGTCATTCACTGATGAGTGTTCTTTGGCATGTACTTTCTGATTGCCAGCATGTTTTTACCCTCCTTTAAAAAATGAAATGTCAATTTTTTTTCATTAGAAGAAACTGAATCCCGGAATGTAATTTTCCCAGGTCACTGATTAAGTTGTAAGTAGTAGAACTGGAATTTGAACCCAAATCTGTTGAATATCAAAGCTTTATTCTTTCTTTATTCCATATTGCTTTGTTTCATTGTTTTATATTAGAGTGTGCTGACTCTGCCTTCCATTTTATGGGATTTGTTATAAGTGTGATTAGATTTACTCTTATTATATTTCACTAATAAAGTTGATTCATTTAATTTTGTGTTTTTTCTTCCTAGATTTTAATTTGATTTGAAAATGAGTAAGTGGAGAAAGCCACCAGTTCAGCAGTTAGCAAGTTCTGAGACCTTCAGTCCAGATGTTCTTGCTAACATTTTTGAACTCTTCACCAAGAACTTTTCTTACTGCAAGCCACCTAATAATGAGTGGCAGTTACCAGATCCCAGTGAGATTTTCACCTGTGACCACACAGAGTTTAATGCATTTCTTGATTTGAAAAACTCCCTAAATAAAGTAAAAAACCTCCTGAGTGATAAGAAACTGGATGAGTGGCATGAGCACACTGCTTTCACTAATAAAGCAGGAAAAATAATTTCTCATGTGAGAAAGTCTGTGAATGCAGAACTTTGTACTCAAGCATGGTGTAAATTCCACGAGATTTTGTGTAGCTTTCCACTTATTCCACAGGAAGCTTTTCAGAATGGAAAACTGAATTCTCTACACCTTTGTGAAGCTCCTGGAGCTTTTATAGCTAGTCTCAATCACTACTTAAAATCCCATCGGTTCCCTTGTGATTGGAGTTGGGTAGCTAATACTCTGAATCCATACCATGAAGCAAATGACAATCTTATGATGATAATGGATGACCGGCTTATTGCAAATACCTTGCACTGGTGGTACTTTGGTCCAGATAACACTGGTGATATCATGACCCTGAAATACCTGACTGGACTTCAGGATTTCCTAAGCAGCATGGCTACCGTTCACTTGGTTACTGCAGATGGGAGTTTTGATTGCCAAGGAAACCCAGGTGAACAAGAAGCTTTAGTCTCTTCTTTGCATTACTGTGAAGTTGTCACAGCTCTTACCACTCTTGGAAATGGTGGCTCTTTTGTTCTAAAGATGTTTACTTTGTTTGAACATTGTTCCATAAACCTGATGTACCTGCTAAACTGTTCCTTTGACCAAGTCCATGTTTTCAAACCTGCTACCAGCAAGGCAGGAAACTCAGAAGTCTATGTGGTATGTCTCCACTATAAAGGCAGAGAAGCCATCCATCCCCTGTTGTCTAAGATGGTGCTGAATTTTGGGACTGAAATGACCAAGAAAGCTCTCTTTCCCCATCATGTGATTCCCCAATCTTTTCTCAAAAGACATGAAGAATGTTGTGCATTCTTTCATAAATATCAACTAGAGACCATTTCTGAGAACATTCGTCTGTTTGAGTGCATGGGAAAGGGGGAACAAGCAAAGCTGAATAATTTAAGGGATTGTGCTGTACAATATTTTATGCAGAAATTTCAACTGAAGCCTCTTTCCAGAAATAACTGGCTAGTAAAAAAATCTAGCATTGGTTGTAGTACAAATACAAAATGGTTTGGGCAGAGGAACCGATATTTTAAAACTTACAACGAAAGGAAAATGTTGGAAACCCTTTCGTGGAAAGATAAGGTAGCCAAAGGATACTTCAATAGCTGGGCTGAAGAACATGCTATATATCATCCTGGGCAAAATTCTCTTTTAGAAGGGACAGCTTCCAATCTTGAGTGCCATTTTGGCATATTTTAGAAGGAAAGAAAACTGCCAAGGTAAAGTGTTCCCCTTCTGCGATGGTGAAATTTTAAAGACTCTCAATGAAGCAATTGAAAAGTCCTTAGGAGAAGCTTTGAATTTGGATTCCAAGTTTAGGCCAAAACAGCAGTATTATTGTTCTTGTCACATTCTTTCTGAAGAACTGATATTTTCTGAGTTAGTTAGCCTTACCAAGTGCCTTCGGGATAGCAGAGGTAGAACTGGTGACCAAATAAAGTGCCTGCTTGTAGGTTTACCGACTCTCTGTGATGTCAAAATACCTATACCATTAGAAGTTCGACTCCTTGAATCAGCTGAACTCATGGCTTTTGGCTGTTCATTGCTTCATGATGGAGATCCAGCTTACCAGCATCTGTTTTTGGACTGCCTTCTAAATTCATTACAGCAACTTCATATGGGAGATGTTATGATTTTGCCTGTACTTTCTTGTTTAACAAGATTTATGGCTGGCTTGATCTTTGTACTTCACAATTGTTTTAGATTCATCACATTTTCTTGTCCCATATCCTCTGAGCCCCTGAGGACTTGTGCAGTCCTGCTGTGTGTTGGTTATCAGGATCTTCCAAACCCAGTTTTCCAGTATCTGCAGAATGTGAATGAATTGTTGAGCACTTGCTTAACTCTAGTGCACCCCAGCAGGTTTTACAGTTTGTGCCAATGGAGGAGCTCCTTAAGGGGCACTGCTTGATTTTTTTGTGGATTTGAATGCCGCCATAGCAAAAGGCATTTGCATTTGATTATTCAAGGAGAGAGAGAAGAAAATCATCAGCAACCTTCAGTTATGAAATTGAGCTTGTCCTTTTCTGAGATTCAGTTTTGTGACTTACAGTTTCTAATGTAACTGTATCTGTTTGCTCTATTTAATTACCTTTCATTTAGGGAAAGGCCAATTTTTCAGTCATTCAGCGTTTTGTGGATTCTGGAAAACCATCAGCTAGTTCTGATCTCTAGGATACATAGAGCATAGGCATAGAGTTCTTCCTTGTGGTGGGATCTATGCAGTGATGATATGGTGTTCAGCCTTTAAAGTGAGATGAGTAGTTGTGCTTGGGGTGGATACACCCATGCTTGCCTATGCAGTTAGTTGATCTTATTTATCTGCTTAAGGTTTGCACTTGTGTGCCTTCAATCAGGTTTTTTTTCCTACTAATATCCTATCATTGAGTAATGCTGTTAATGAAGTGGTAGAGTCACTCATGAAAAGAGGTGAGTTATTCCTCAGCACAATTTACTTGAGCGCTTAACATGTCAATTATAGATTTCAGGGCACTCTTTGTGCCAGATTTCTTGATGATTGCAATTATTGCCATTAGGTTATTGACCCAGTTTTCTTTTATGGTTCAAATGAAGCTAATGTATTGTCTTGTGAATTATTTTATTACAACCATCCAACTAATAAAGAGAACAAGGCAGCTTCAATACAAAGATCATGCTTAAAACAATGAAAAATTGTGTCTAGTACACTCTGGAATCATGAAAAAATTCATTTAGCAATGTTGTAATTTTTGACTTCTAGGAAACAATGAATTTAAAGATTGTATTAAATTTTAAGGTACCATTTATAGTCTTATCTTAGGGACTTAGAATTTGATGAACATAGTGAATACTAGAGAAAAAATTTAATACTTTCAGAATCATGGTTCAACATTAAAAATTTTTACTCTTTATTAATTTATTTTTTCAATATGAAAATAGCACTTTACCAAAAGATTAGCCATGAGATCATTTTTTAAATCAGTTATATCTGATTTCTTTTGAATTGTCTGTGTTTAACAGTGTAATGAACTTTTTTTGCAAACTGAATTAAATAATATTTATTACCTACTTCTACTCGAAGTTCTACGAGTAGAGAATATTTGTCTTATGTTCATTTGTAGGTATTTTTGTTAGCTACATGAAAAATAGACATAGTTTCTGATGTATTTGATTTATAAAAACTAATCTGAAGAATTTTCATGTTCTTCACTGTTTTAAGTTCCAGTATAGTTCATGAATAAAGTCTTTAGCAGAGATTTTGTGTTCATCTTTTAAAAAGAGAATCAGAATCATGGGGGAAGCTAAAGATACTACTTGGAAACAGACTCTTTATAATGAAGTTTCAAGTGGGAGTTAATGTTCTTTCATTTCCTTTGATTTGTACTCATTAACATTTACTTCTTAATATTGTAATATTTATGGAAATCTACTTCCTGAGAGAAATTGAGTTCTTTAGCGGGGTGGAAAAGGAGAGGGGAGGAAAGAAACTTCATTTTCTACTAGTGACTTTATGGGAGTGTATTACTTGTGTGATGGTGGAAGCCTGAGAGACAAGTGGTTACCAAGAGAGAAAACTACTCCTGGAAAACCCATTTTGCATTTAGTAGTTTCCATGCCTTGTTAATAATAATGTAGTTTATTTCACTTATTTTAGCCATTTAATTAGAATCAGATTGAAAGTCTGGGTCCAGATGTTTATATTAAAACTTTCCTTTAAAGCCTTCAAGTAAGTACTGAATGCTTAATTTTTTAATACTAATCTGATTATGCAACATTGAATATAATATATTTAGTTTTTTAACATGGATTTTGGAATCAGTTGCTGCCTATCTGATTTATTGGATTCTGATTGCTTTAGAGGTGAGATAGGAGTTGAGGAAAGTTCAAATTGAACTGAATGTAGATGATAGATACCAGTATTTAAAAGAATTTCTCTTTAACCTAAGGAGAGAAAAGTGCTATAAAAAATGAATGATAGTTAGATATGGTGGTACATACCTGTAATCCCATCTACTCAGGAGATGAAGGCAGGAGGATCACAATTTGAGGGCAGCCCAGGAGAAAGGTAGTTCATCTCAAAAAAACAAGGACTGGAGCATGGCTCAAGTGATAGAGCACTTGCCTAGCACATGCAAACCCCTAGGTTCCATCCCCACCCCTGTGTAAAAGAGAGAAAAAGTAAAGAATAGCAAGATGTGAGAGGCGATTTGTATTGTTTATCAAGGTAGTTACTGTTCGTAAATATTTTTCATAGGTCTTGAAAATTTTAATTTCAATGCTTTTCAAAAATGTTTTAGTGCTAGAAAATTTAATCTTCACAAATGTTTCCTAAAGCTTATATTTTTTCTTTCTTCAATATTTTGTTTCCTTACCAAAAAAGTTTTGTATGTTAGTGGGAGCTTTTGTGTAATGTCATTTAAATATTTAAATACATTGAAAATGTCTCTGTGAAATTTAAAATCCAAATTTGTGGGCTTGATTTTCATCTTAAATTTTTTTTTGTTTAAAGAATTTGTGTCAAGTTTGTGGGGTTTTCCTACATAGAAACTTGAAGAGAAACTCACATAGTTGATAATAGTCCTGCCTTACCTTTTTCTTCAGGATAAAACTCGTTTGTGGGTGATCACAGGAGCAGAACTAACTACAAACAGAATTTTCAGTATTGAAATAAATATTTCAAATTCAGTATCAAAATTGAAAATAAATTTTATTTGGATGGTAAATGCTTTTAGAATTTTTTTTAAGTTTGATAGTACATAGAGTAACTGATAGTATGTAGGAATTTTTGAAGACATTAAAATGTCAATGTATAATGAAGTTATTTTATATTTGAGATTCTAATCATTCTTTCCCACATTCATTTGTTTGATGTTTGGTTTTTCTTATCTTTTTGCCAATATAGAAAATTAATATTTCTTTGAATAAGTACAAGTTTATAGTGGAATAATTTGGGAGTGGTCAGTCTTCTTCATGACCATAGATATGTGAAGACGCAGCTCTGTTTTGCTAATGAAAAGATTTTGAAATTATCACTAAGCATAGCTAACATTTAATTTCATTCCATTGAAAATTTGATTTAAAAGTGCAATCTGCTTGTGTTTGCCTATGTGTACTCACAATTCGTACCCGTAATGTCTCTTTAATTTTTTTGAGATCTTGATCATTGTATCTTTTTGGCATGTTTTTACTACCAACTAGGTGTAATCATTCTGTGTTCATTTATGCCATGTACACAGCATTAATTTAGCCTGTTGGACATTTAATATTATCTAATATTTAATGTTGCAGACATATTTTTTATTTGTGCCTTAAATTTGATTGCTGTGATTTAAAGGAAAACATTTGTAGAACTTGTTACTTTCTGTTTATTATGTTGAAAGGTATTCTTATTAAAAAGATTCTATAATCTCTGTGAATAAACCTACATTTTATGTGTTCTGTAACTTTTGCTCTTTTACATTGTTCTTTTAACACCAAATTGTTTTACTGAACAAGGCATATGTGCTTTTCTAACGTTTTGGAGAGTTTCTGTTCTGTTTCCAGTGAATTTCAGGATTAAAAGATTAGTTTGTACATTAGATTACCTTAGAAATTTAAAACAAGCACCAATATTTCCTGTAGTTTTCTTTTTATTAGGGTATATCATCCTTTAACTTCAGTAATATAAACCTCTTCCTGGAACCATTGTATTTACTGTTTGAATCATTCTATATGAGCCTTACCTTTAAGTGATCTTAATACTGTTCATTCTTTTTACATTCTTTTATTTTCTTGCCAGATCATCAACTCATAAGCACATGATACTTACTTTTCATGCTATGTCATCAATATGGTGTCTACAGAATTTGGTTTGGATTTTTATTAAAGGAAAGTTTTTATTTTTGGTGGACCTGGGGTTTGAGCTCAGGACATCAGGCTTCCAAAGCAGGTACTCTACAGCTTGAACACAAGTCTAGTCCTATTATAGAAAAGTTTTTAATGTACCAAAATTAAAGTAATGTAACAAACTTCCATAACCTCACTTAGAGATTGTAACTGTTAACATTTTGCTGAACTTGTTTTATCCTCCTACACTTTTTCCCTTGGAGTATTTTAAATTTCTTGAAATACGTACTGTGAATCTCTAACAGATAAGCACTTTATCAACACCTAATAAAAAACACCCAATAACCCAATCCACGTTCAAATTTTCCATGTTGTCTCAAAGATGCCTTTTTTACAGTTGGTTTATTCAAATAAGGTTTGTAGGTTGCATTTATTTAATACGTCTCTCAGAATTGAGACGTATTTTCCCCACCCTCTAGACCCAATCTTTTCCATGACCTTTTAACTGCTGAAGAGTTGTTATTTGTCTTGTAGCTTTTTCCACATTCTGGATTTGGCTGGTTATTTACTTAGATTACTTCTTAATTGTAACTGGATGTCACAGGTTCCCTTGTAAATTGGTAGATTATAGAATTGGTTACTTTGGATAATAATTCTTCATCAATCATGCTGTGTGCATTTTTTTTAAATCATGAAGCACAAAATGTCTAGCTGCTTGGCACTAAGGTGAGAGTTCAGATGTCACCTGATCCATCAGTTATTAAATTTTCAGTCTTTAACTTAATAGGCTTAAAAATCCATTGGATATTGATAACTAGCTCCATTTATTAGGGATTGCAGAGTAGCATTTTTTTAACCATAGTTTTTCTGTATTATTTGGACTTTTATGGCAGTGAACTTGAAGTATCAAGTATTTTTTTTCTGAAATAGCATAGGGAAGTTTGGACAAATGTTTAATTAAAAAAAAACTATCAGTTTTCAGACAAATAAGTTGGTAACCTCAAAAGGTGACCAATGAGACTTTTTTGTGTGTGACTGTTTTTCATTACCTAGGAACATATGGGTGGTTATGTATTTGATGTATTTTAATCAATGACAACTAGTCTTATTTGATGCTCAAATTATCCAGTTTTGGCTTAGGTGTGTAGAGGAAAGGCTTCATGTTGATTCCATTAAAAAAAACATTCCATAATCTCTGATAACT